TACCCAATGAAATATGATGGCTTGTGTGGCTCATAATCACGGGTCTGCCGATTATTTTCGGCACCACTAAGTTATTACAGCAAACCTGTAATGAAAGCATTAAAAAACGAACTACGTTCTTGCGCTTATTTATGGTGTAACACTAGTAAAGTAGCTCCTGATTGTCAAATTCCTAATAGGGACATTCATTGAGTCACAAGATTCCGATTTAAGCTGATAACTTCGATCAGTTTGCTCTTAAATTCTGACCAGAATTAAATTGCCGCATGAAATGCCCACATTGGCGTTAATACAATCGCAAGTTACGGCACATGATCAATCACATCAATTATAAGTGGTCTATTCAATAAATTTACTCGCCTATTTTAACTCCATGCACACGCTGACATTATCGCTAAACAATTTACTACGCGAACTATACAGCTGGCTGGACCTGCTATGTTATATGATGTGCATACTGTATTTTCGACACCACAGTCACAATGACGAATGAAATGCTTTAAATAATTAACAAAATAACACAGCATACTCACCCAATTTGCATAACATCAATGCTTGCATACTAAACAAATAATTTACGCGTGGTGGAAATATCCACAAGTTTCTAATTAATTTGTATAAATCCAATAGAAAAGGCGTTTGATAATTCATCGAGAAGGAAGAGAACAATAAATCTGCTTATTCTGGACTTTTTCTTTTTGCCCACCAATGTATATACATTGCCCTACCTATACCAAAAGTACGCAATCTGCAATATAAAAAGGTATATCTAATGCAAGCTGGCGCTTTGACTTTAGCTAGATCCTGATTTACAGCGAGCAACAGGGTTCTGAGTATTCGCATAAAGCGGTCAAACTCAATACCGTAACAGGTAAGTTACTGAGAGGCCATGACGTAATAGAGATACAGAGATAAATGTAGTGATATTTTAGTACCATATATACGAAATGTTGATACATATGTATATGGTATACGAAGTTAGGCCTAAGGCCAAGCAGTATTCGTTATGATGAGACGTTATTATAATAAAGTAGTTATACTAATCGAAATGAATCTGTTCGAGTTTTGTTTTTGCTTTGCAATATTATGCATTCCACATTTCTCTTCACCTTGTTGAATGCGACTACTGCATCTTTAGTAAAGATGGTAGGAAGAGATTTCGAGCTACTTTAATCGTCGCCTTCTTTCTCTGCAAAGAAACAATATCATCGTCTATTACCATTCCCAATCATACGGTAGGATTGACTGAAAATCATGTTACAGCCAATGTAAAAAATTTTGCGGTAACGGTGTAACGATTTTACTATTAACCTCGTTATAATTTTACTGTTTAAAAAACGGGAACCTTGTGTTCGCGCATCATGCGATCAATTTCACAAAACACTGTGATAATAAAAACTGATCGAGACAATCACAGATACTTTAAGATCTACTTATAATTGATTATGTTTACAGCAATACACACAAGGTTTCTCCTATAATTATCATATGATAGTAATTTATGCTAATCTCTTAAATATATTGTCATTACTCTTTTTCCCACCTGCGTCACAAATATGGGCGTTCGAGTACTTTTTTATAAGGACATCCCGTATCACAATATCTTTGTACTACACTGTTCCCTTGGTTCATGACATCGCCATGTACATCAACCAGTCCATTTATGGTAAGCGGGACAACAAGCTTAGATTAATGTTAATATAAAAAGGAGGGTTGTCCACCAAAGTAGGACCATATTCAATATGGAAAGTTCCGAAGAAAGCCGTGCAATCAATCGAACAGAACAGCCAATACCCAATATTGTTCATACTTTTTTCTTGTAACACCAGAATATTCTATCGAGGAAATTTCCATCATATTTACCCAGCATCTTGCTTATAGGATGACTTGGTGAAGAAGAACGCAACGGATGTTCCACAGCTTTAGTAAACCATATATCAATTGCGATTGCCGTCAAATATTTAAATACCACTGACAGGTACAATTCTTCTGCACGGCAGCTGTAAATCATGACAATGCAACTGCCTCTCACACGCTCACTTCCAACAACTTCAAGTTATTCTGCCCCCATTTCAATTGATAAATACCTTACGCGGGAAGGACACCATCTAGTCGTCAACTACCTCAAATTCAATCAAGTTCAAAAGGACATCCAACAAGGAAAACTAAATAACTTGGAGGAGAGGGATATAGATGATTTGCTGGGAAGTTACAAGGGAGTGCCGACACGCTGCTTCAACAGTCTCAACTACGATAATCTTAGTCTGACACGAACCGAGCTAAAGTTACTTGCAAAATTATTAAAGGCGGATAAAATATCAAATGTACGCATCCTGCGTATATGCAGAAACAATCTTCATGGCGGTGTTCTTAAGACAGTTATCAATGCCTTGAGCAACAATAAAACCGTAGAGGTGCTGGATTTATCCTTCAATGCAATAGGCGATGCCGACGCCAAGGATTTTTCTCGTTTACTAAAGAAGAATAAGGTCATCCGCGAAGTAGCAATCGGTCATAATAGGATAACAGCCAAAGGAGCTCAATCGATAGCAAAAGCTTTGAAAGCAAACAACTCACTTGTTCGACTGAATATTGAAGCCAACAGCCTCGGCACTGCTGGTGCCACCGCGATTGCCGATATTATTGCTTATAACAAGAGTCTGAAATTTCTCCATATTGGCGGTAATAACATTCAAGCCGGAGGAATGGCCGTCATAAGTGAAGCATTGAAAGACAACAAGAGACTATGTAGTCTCAGTCTTGATTGTAATAATCTCCTATCGGAGGGTGCATTCCATTTGGGAGAAGCATTGAAAGTAAATAATACTCTAACGCATCTTTATATTCCTCGTAATGATATTGGTGATGACGGACTACGACACTTGAGTGTAGCTATGCTTTCTAACAAATCACTCATATATATTGATTTGGAGTTGAATAGTATCGGGAAAAATGGCAATGTGCTTGGAGTGAAAGCGCTGGCCGACTTGCTCGATCGACACACTGTTCCCCGTGCTATAAACCTCAAGCTCAATTCAATTGGAGACAGGGCATGTCAGTCTCTTGCCAGTGGGCTATATCGAAACATGACTCTGGAATCGATTATTCTATCTAGCTGTGACATCGGACTCGAAGGAATACGTGCCCTATGTGATTCATTAAAGGAGAATAGAGGGTTGCAGAATATCAACTTGAATAGAAACTCGGTCATAGGTGTCGATGGTCATCAGGCTGTGGCAGACGCACTTGAGAAAAATACAATGTTAAAGGGAGTCCAGTTAGATTACGATTTTGAAGAGTGGGAGCGCATCAGCGAATCCATTGACAAGTCACTTTTGAGGAATCACCTCCTTCAGGCAGAGAAGTATTCTACGGCTTGTAGGCTATTAGTTGTATCGAGGCTTGTCATACACGCGACAGGAAAATTGAGATCGAATAGAGTAACTGAATTTTTAGATTTACCATTTGAACTGAAGAGGAAAATAATTTATGCGTTAGACACGACGAAGGTACTGACGAATGATCATTGTAAAACGATTCTCAGATTAGGCGGTCGTAGAGACAATTTCAATATCAGCAAGGAGAGCTTCTTAACAACGGTATTCAATGTCTATTATCCTAATAATCTGGATATTGCGTTATGGCCTACCAAGGCGTCTGACACGTTTGTGAGAGTTTAATTTCCCATTACCAAATGTATCAGCGAACATTCGTCGTGTCACTTATTATGTGAGTTAAATACTACATAATTGTATATACACTGAGATGCTTGTATTTAAAGGGGAGTCTCTTGTATTTATTGGGGGTGGGAAGAGGGAGTAGGGCATTTTAGCGAATGTTCTTTGAAAAAATAAATTAGTAACCAGTAGATTTTATTATGTATTATGTATTAACTAAAGAACATTTAGGGTTAGTTCATTGTCTTTTCTTTCAGTAAATAAAAAAAAAAAAATCAAATTAAAGAATGGTCGGTTCCTTCTGCTGGATTAAAAGATAACTATCACTATGATACTGTCCACAGAATTAATCACGAATGTCTGTGGAAAATATAATGCCCATTCATTCATCAGCATTGTCTAGGAATCAAATTCTAGAAAGTTTGGTAGATAATCCATAATCGATTTTAAAGCACTCGCCACTGCCTCATTATCATTGTTACCGAAGTTAGGAGGGTTTAACTTGGTTCACTGCGTTCGGAAACACATTTCGTGCCTTGTAGAAACAGTTGCACTTGTTAAAAGCATTCACTTTATGTTGTGCTAGACGCGTCGTGTTGTGTCCCGGCTCTCAAGGAACCGAAAATTCAAAATCAACAAAAACAACCTCCACTTTTTATTTCATAAACAACTTAGCGATATCTTCTAAGAGATAGCGTATTTCTCCTAAGCCAACTAGCATGTCGACCACCACCCGTTGTCTTATTATAACGATGTCCTTTACCAATACCGCGATTCTTCTTGCCAATACTGGTAAGCCCACGAGCTTCACGATGCTTATGTTTGGCCGAGGCAATCCAATTGATGCGCGGATCACGTCTGATGGCTTTATGAGATGGATCGACTAGAATCACTTCGAAATACTTGTACGTCGAATCCTGCAGATGACCCCCGGCAATACAGATTAGTGGATTTCAATTGCGTAATGACGACTTGACTTTGACAGCGGTACCTGATTGACCCAGTAAGAATTCAGTACACGCATATTGGCACATCTGCGACCAACACGTTCTTCGGCAGTAGCCCTCAAGGAGCGTTGGTATTTAAGTTGATTAACACCTTGGTTAACGGGTTTACCATAGGTAGCACCTTTGGGCACCGGGCGCTTACGACCACCGCGACGTACTCGAATACGATAAATGACATATCCTTGCTTGGCCTTTATCAATAGAAAATTTAATTAGCAAAAACCGATGATATCAGCAGATTTTATTCCATGCATGTATCTAATCACACGTATATTCAATTCAATCAATTGATTGTTTGAACCCACCTTGTAGCCAAGTCGACGTGCCTTATCAGGTCTCGATGGACGCGATGCACGGTGGATAACATTTAACTGTCTAATAGTCCCCCACACCAAAAAGAAACATTTGATCCATCCCCATTCAGTCTTAGTTCATTGGTCATGAAATTGTTTAAATTCCATGCCTATATATTCTCCAATCTCTCGCACTCTCGCTAGTTCCGTATCATATAACAAGTAAACGACAACAGAACTTTGCGCAGAAATACGAGGAGATAAAGTGCATGGAGAAGGCGATCGGGGGAAAGGGATGAAGCACAAAAGTAAATTGATGCAAAGATACCTGTATTCCCAGCATCTTACACGATGCAAGAAGCGAAGGACATCAGATTGTTTTTTTTTGTATAGTTCCTCGAGGTACTTGTAAGCTGTATATACGAAAGGAGAAAAGGGTCAGTTGAAGTAATATCGACCGATTAATATGTAGCATTATACCAAATACATAGGAGCCACAGGCTGAGAAGACATTACTTACCACCCATGGTTCCCTGTTCTAACGATTGTATCGAGTAGTTGGTAGTAAGCAATAAAACAATATTAGGTTTATAATTTGCATCTCAACAGAAAGTTCCTGATCGTTGTTAAAATCCCAATTCCAAAAAACTTTTTCAAGCTCTTAATAGAATCTGGCTTTAAATCCATCCGCCCATCTATCTATCCATCCATCCATCAAACGATTGTATTTATCCCCAAATATATTTCCTCATTATTTTTTCGTCACTGTTCATTCTCCACACATACCTTGCCCGAATTCAAAAAGGAGGAACTCGTTGTTGTAACCAACATTTACTTTGTAAACAAAATCATTTTGCACGTGATTAATAGGGTGCATAGATTTATTTGGGGGAGGTGTCTACATTAATATTAAAACCTATCATTACTAAAATCCACATTAATATTAAACAAAGTCTAATTAATGACAATCGATAAATTTGGTCAACAGCTACTCCACTTGGATCATAACCTGTCATGAATGTACGTACACCTGGATCCAGAGAAATCACTCCTGATCCTTCCTATTAAATTATTAAATATATAATTTATTTAAAAAAATTAGATCAAAACCTTTTGAAATTTTTCAGCCCGTATTTCAAGTGGTCTGGGTATACAAAGATAATATCAGGGCGGTAAACCCACTCCACGAATTTTCTTTGTATCTTAATATTAATATACGCTTGAATCTTTTTACCAACCTCCCTTGTACACGTTTGAGCCTTCTGATTGCATTGCATTCCCATAACTCATAACGATGTAATAGTAATGTAAATGCATATTAATCGTCATAATTATATCTAAAATTCGATTTTTGTTTAATTTTCGAATACTTTTCATAATTTACACAGTATTTATTTCCGGTACATGAAAATTTCCAATGTTTCTCCATCCCTATGGTTATAATTTCCTATATTCTTCTTTCTTTGTCCAGTATATACTAACTGATCACAAGAGAAACAGATTGCTATTCAGGAGCATATGAACCGTCACCCGGAAATCGTATTAATTTCCTAGCTTCAAGATAACTTTTACTCTATCCGGTAAAAGATCATTTTCTCTGAAATACGTTAAACGGACCCAATTCGCTCTTTCCACTTTCCAGGAATTTCATTTGTGCGAACTTGCGGCATCTGACAATATTCGTACCATTCATCGTCAGTGCATTTAGAACCGCGTAGATCTTGAAGAGTAATCATTTTATGCTCGCACTAGCTGACCTATTTGGTTATACTATAAATGTATTTGATAAATGTATTTCGTACGACAGACCATGTGTTTGGAGTATTGCTCGTAAAGGCAAAATTGCTTTCTTGATAGGAGTAGTTACGTTGCCTCAATCTTGAATGTTGACTTTAAGTTACGAGCAATAGTCTGTACCGGTCCTGTTGGCAAAGTAACGATCAAATCTGTTTTCTGCCCAATAACGGGCACGATCATCGTTAGGATCTTGGTCGACTCTACGTCTTTCTTGACTCGCTACCAATTGTTGCTCACACCTAAAATCAAAAAATCAAATGTTAAAATGAAATTAATATTAATAACATATAATCTGAACCTTTGAAACTTACCAAAGTTTGCGGAACTTTTCTTCTCCGATGTTGTCGTTTTGTATTCGACAAAAAATCGCAGACATTTCTTCTTTAGTGCAAACGCGCACCTTCTACTTGACGTTTTTCTTGGTTATTTCGCGTACAAATATTTTCTTCCGTTGACATTTCGGATCGCGCCCATCTGATTGCGTCACGATCGATTTTCGATTATGCGTTGTTGCGCAGTTTCTTCCGTAACGATACTTCTGTTGGATTTCGACAGAGTTTTAATATGGTCTTCAACAATTTGTCTTGAGAAAGAATGAGTATGTTCTTTGGATATTTGCAATTGCTTTTCCAAATGTCCTCCTAGTCTATTTATAACATTTGTGGATACTGCGATTTCGAACAATTGACCTTATACATGTTGTGTCTGAGTTTGGGACAAGACTCAGTCCAGAACTGAGACAGGTCCCCAACTGAGGTACAACATATAATACGGTTTATTTCTCAATACAGCAACAAAAGCAGCACAGTGGAAGTATATTTCACTTAGTCCTCGATAGAGAAATTATCAAACAATGACGATGCATACAATTTATTTTCAATGATGGTAGCACAAAGTAGGTCAATGTATCATCATACTTCAGGAATTATCAAACAATGAAGGTAGGATTTGTATTATCATACGATTTTTCAATCATGGCACAACACAGCAATTGTCAAATAATGACGGCAGCGCAGGAAGTTTATCACACAATACACGTATGTCTTTGATCATGACATAATAATAATCAGCAGATAGTCTTTCTTTAAAGCATCACTACTAAGAAGATTTAGATTTATCATCAATGTATCATTATTGTCGTTTGTATTTCCTTATAATAGTCCGTCGACAATAGCTTTATTAATAACAATCAGGTTAAGCTGGTTGTCCTAGAGAGGACGAATAAAAGCACAAATTATATGTATAAATCAGGTTTGGGGGCAAATGATATATAATTGCGTACCACAATGATATAAACAACAGCACGATTACTGTCAATTACCATTTACGATACCTCCCCTATGTTGGGGGATGTAATAAATTATCTCCCTCCCCTACAGTGATTGCCAAACCTGATAGGGGAGGTAGCTGATAATAATAATAATAGATCAATGTCCAAATACACAGTGAACCTCGTTATCGATATAGCAAATTCGGCTTATTGTAAATGATTTTCCTGGTCCCAAACCACGTCTATCATAATTAATCTCGTTATAGTAAATTCCTCGTTGTTATAGTCACACTCCATCATATGAAAACCTTGATATAATCACCCACATTTCAAAAACCAACTACAGTCAACCCTCTCTATAGTCACACTGTCGGGAACAATGCAACTTTTGTTGAAAATGAGCTTATAAAGAGGTTGTGACTATATAGATATAGAGGGTTTTTCCTATAAGTTTAATAATAATTGGTTCTCAAACATGATGTGCTTATAAAGAGGTTTTTATATGATGTGCTTATAGAGGGGGGTGACTATAAAGAGGGTTGAAAACGCCCTCTATATAATAATAAGCACAAAATTTTTATAGTCACATACATTTAAAACCAATTAATATAGAAGAGCTTATGAAAAAATACCTCTATATAAGCACAATTTGATATAAAGTGAACCCTCTATATATGTACTTATTCCCAAGCTCGGGAATTAGGGAATTGATGCACACCCTCCATATTCTACATTGCACGGTTTTTTCGTTTCCCACTATTACTATATGACTTTCCCACTATATGAGTTTCACTATATGAGTTTCACTATATATGCACGCCCGTGATTTTCATGTGATTTGTACAATAATAGTGGTTTGAAAAAGACAGTGTTACATATAAATATTAATATGCGTTGTTATTATTATCGACTTCTAAGTGAATCATGATGCAGACATTATCCGTCCTTTGTCTTTATGATAGAGAAACAGAAACACTATTTAACGTCTTTGTTAATAGTAAAAAGTTGCCTTTGTCATCATTAATACAAAGACTTGAATTAACTGAAATCGTTATTGACTTTGAGTACCAACATCGATGCGAATTTTATTGAAAATCTAAAACGTCTTTGTTGAAATGGATTTAAGCCATTTTTAATAAAGATGATCTTTGTCGTCATTAACGCTGATAACTGAATCTTTATCGACTTTGTAATAGAGTCACGGTTTCGCGACGCGACATCAATGCATAAAAGAATAGTCGAATTTATTAAACACATAAAACCTCTTTGTTAAACGGATACAACACTTGTCAAAGATACACTACCTGGACAAAAGTCTTGCACACTGAAAAATTTTAATTACACAAAATTGCACATAATAATTACATTTCAAAATTTAACAATTTATACTTTAACCAATGAAGTAACTATGTATAAATCAATATTTTGTTGGCCACCCATTGTTTGTAATAACAGCCTCTATTCTCCGTGGCATACTTTCTATCAAGGCCATTACTTGACTTTGTGAAATCTTGCCCCATTCTTCCTGTAATGCTGTCTCTAATTCTGCAACATTTGTTATTGCTTGTGATCTGCTTCTTATTCTTCTTTCTAGCTCTGCCCATAAATGCTCAATTGGATTCAAGTCAGGAGACTGACTTGGCCAATCTGGCAAGACTTTGATTTCGTTCATTAAAATCCATTTTTTAACATCTTTAGCAGTATGGACTGGAGCATTATCATCTTGAAACCAATACCCTCTGCAATTAAATTCTTCCTTTATCAAGGGTAATAAATGCTTTTCAAGTATTTTTATGTAGTCAGATCTATTCATTTTACCATCTACTTTTACTAATGGCCCCAATCCTTTACCAGAAAAGCACCCCCACATCATTAATTCTCCACCTCCAAATTTTACTGTTGGAACCAAATTAGCAATATTAAATCTGGTACCAGGAGTTCTCCAAACACGACCTGAACTATCATTTTTAAATATTGTAAATCTGCTTTCATCACTCCATATGACAGATCGCCATTTTCGAACACTCCAATCTCTCCTTTCAGTACACCATTTCAGGCGTTGTTTTCTTTGCCGATCATTTAGGAGAGGTTTACGAGCTGGTATACGAGAAAAAAATCTGCATTTCGTGCAAATTTCTTCTAATAGTTTTTGTGGAAACTACAATATTAGTTTTTTCAACAAATTTGTTTTTAATTTCTTCAGCTGATTTCTTATTATTGTTTTTAACAATAGTCTTTAGAATTTTTTGACTTCCATTGGTCAATAATTTTGGACGCCCAGATCGGGGACGGGTAGCAAGGTCATCTCCGTTAAGGTACTTATCAATAGTACGAGTAACAGTTGTTCTATGAGCTTTGAGCATTTTACTAATTTTTGGTACTAATTGCTTATTTTTGTAAATGCCAATAATTTCACCTCGTTGGCTTTCAGTTAAGGGATGCATTTTAAAATCAATAAAGATTAGAAGTGCTTACGGATTTATTTATATATCCTGATGTGTGTTTACAAACAACACGAAAATTATACACGCGTTTGTTCAAAACCAAAACAACATTATATTAAAATTTGAAATATAATTATTATGTGTAATTTTGTACAATTAAAATTTTTCGATGTGCAAGACTTTTGTCCAGGTAGTGTATGTGTGACTATATGGGTGTGCCAATATCCAGAAATAGTATCAACCCGCATTTGAAAAAGCAAAAGGTGACAGCATAGTGGCAAAAGGCAAGAGTGACTAACCAATAATCGTAGTTCAGATAAACGTAGCTGAAAATAGAGCAATTAGTAGCTCGAAGGATATAAAAACAGCGTAGAATTTAGCGCGTGTTTGCCAGTGCGTTTATGGTGTTCATAATATTCTACCTTTATTGTAAATATTTCTAATAAATGAGTAGTTTGTTAATGATTCATTCCCTGGTAAATTATCGGTATCAGTATAGTTGTGAAACCATTAATCCCTATATCGATTATTCCCGTGGCAAATACGATGATTAATTGTTTATGTCGATGCGCATTATAATTCATAAAGTCTTGTGTGTAATCCCCTCATCGTTGCCCGCCAGATTAACTCGTACACATATGTTGTAATTGAGCATCAGTCGTAGTCAAATCGTTTGACCAAACAAATACCTTGTCGTTGCGTGACGATTCGGTCGGTGATTAGCATTGTAATTGCATAATCATAACCGTCATATAAACCAAATTTTCAATACAATATTATTTAAAGAAAGCTTATTTATGATAAGCTGTTTTAACTTGAAACGGAAAACCTCAAGGTCAAATTTCGCATCAGCCAGTCACAACCAAGCCTTTATAGTACTAGCGTTTTATTACCATGTATGACAAAACTCAAGCCTTAGAAATTATAAAGTTGGTATCATGAATAACAGTACTCTCATTTTTGGCACATTGAACAAAAAGTACGCGATCGAGTTTTTTCTCGTGTCAATATTATATCGCATAACCGTAAAAGGTTTTTATCGGTACCATATAAAGAAATGCAGATACTGCTTAATCCACATGTTGATTTTTGATATCCTCGCGTTAATCGTTAACATAATTGACAGGGGAACTGTGCAAATCCTTGTGTGGTGCTATGAAACGCGTAGATAAACTCGACAAGACAAGCCAGACACTCGACAAGCCAGACACTCGACAAGTCGGGCAGCTATGCCCAGCCAGTCGTGTCCGACTTGTCGAGTTTACCTATATTCCAAGGCTGTAGCGTTGGGTTTCACAATATCTGTAAGTTGAATAACTTTTACGGTATTGTTTCAGTTTTGCGTTAGCTTGTAATCTGAATTTAGAAAATTTCATTGATAATTAAATGCATCTTCTTCCAACGTAAAGCTTTAAGATATATGAATTGAATGTTAATCAAATATAATATATTCGGCATTTGATAATTTCCCAGTCCGCTGCTTACTAAAGAAGAGGCCATTGTTTTTATTATGGTTTCTAATTGTACAGTATGCGATTTCTTTGAACGAACGAATAATGACATCACTAATTCGTTCGTCGAGTAGATAAAACCAATTATACTCTTATGTTTAACAGGGTTTTATTGTGTGTAATGTCTAATTGACGCGATTGATTCGATGCAGTCCTTGCCTTTATAATACAGCAACTCCTTCCTATACATCAATACATCAATCAATACATCAATACATCATCATACATATCTTTTGTTTGTGGTGACGTTTCAAAACTTGTTTAAATGTCCCTCACCCCCAATCTCGGCATGGGGTGTATTGTACAAATACCAAGTCAAAACTATCAAATTATAGAACACGAACCTCTTTTCGATTTTCACTTTCTTCTCTCTCTCTTACATAATTCAAAGTATAATATTCCCTTCCTTCACTTATACTGATCTTTCCTATAGAGTAAAATAGTGTTATTTGTTATAAAAGTACTATACTACTAATAATATATTATATAATATTCTTAAATTACTTGTATGATCATATGTACTTTGTTCTGTCGTTGTGTCTGTCTTTAATATAATGAATACCCCATACTATCCAAGTGGTGACAAGTATATTGGCGAGGGAAGTGAAAGCTCGTTCACTGCTACTCCCGCTGATGTACGCTCTGCTCTATCATACTCAGCCATAAGTACATTTACTCCTGCTACTGCCGGTATGTGATTACAAGTCTCCCGAGTGTTGAATGTGAACCTCGAGTGTAATTGACTTGATTAATTACCAGTTTATTCAATTGACATTGATCCGTTCATTGACCCTTGATCTGTGTTTCATAGTTATTGGAGAACTACCCTCGGTATCGATCGCGTATCTTGAACATTCGACATGTAATATATATGACCCACAGTATGCAAATATAGCCGCATTATTTGACACTTCTACATCACAGCAAGTTGATCCAGAATTACAGAGACAGTTGAAGGCTGCACAGTATGCTTTGGAACAAATCGATGTTAGCTATATGTAAGTTTCAACTAAAAGAAAAGAGGTATTAGTGATAACATCAGTTGCTTCACCTCGAAAACTTTGCTCATAACCTAACTTTTGCTCCGTACAGTCGATTCAAGAATCCTCCACGGTCGTTACACACACAACCAGCTTTTGAGTTTACGCACGATTACCGAACAACGATATCACAAAGTCCTTATATACAGACAATTGATCCAAAAGCAACTATAATAGTTGCAAATCAATATAATCAAGAGCCTCAATTACCAGTGTCGGGTTCAGTTAACTCTTCATCAATACCAAAGACAACATTTAACGATAATGGATATGGAAGTACGTTTACACTAGCAACAATATCGAGTGGAACGACCGGTTCAATTACACGCAACAACGACAACAATCGTGCAAGTAACACTCGTACTCCGAAAAATCTCCCTAATAACAATATTAGTACCGTCATTCATAAAAATTCTGTACATGACGTTGGAGATGGAAATAGACGATCAGTGTTCATTGATAATCAGAAGAGAGCTAGAGAGCGAGAAGATGAGAGAAATGGTGATGGTATGTTGCACCACACTAATAACATGGACGAGATCAGATAATATGAACATAACTTGGTTGTTATTATTAGTTGCTTATTTTTATACTGACAACACTTTCTTCCATCTATCATTCAGCCGCCCTTAACAAATTAATAAACTTTATAAGCGCAATATTCGAATCCGAAGACTCTTTATCCCTTACCGACCCGCCCACCACCCTCACTTCTCCCACGTTTACACACGAAAATCACTTTTTTCTTCCATCATCTCTCTCCTCTCAAGAGCCACTTTTAACCACAGAAATAACCCACAAACTCATCAAACTCATAAACAAAGCCAGAAAGTACCATCCATTGGAAGACGTAGAAGTAGAAGACTTGTCTCGAGTATTAAAGATATTAGAGAGAGCTATCAGAGAAGTAGAGGCATTGGATGTGTTTAAGAATGTCAGGATAGGAGGGACTGGTAAAAATGACAATGGAAAAACCAAGGAGGAGGAGGATGAGAATGAAGACGAGGATGCCAAAATGCAGAGAGTAGAGGATCGGATCGAAAAGATTATGAATGGAATTGAGGCGGCTATTGCTGCATTTACTATTATGACTGGTGGCAAGTTGAGCAAGCAGGTTGGTTGATCACAGTTGGACGTGTTGGGAACGAAACGTTATCGTTGCTTACTAATATCTTTATCACATTTATTTCTGATTCAGTTGTATCCTGAGGACTTGATTGTATCTTGTGTAAATCTTGTTAGAAATCAACTGACTGGCGTGATATACAGAGTGTTGGAAATGAGTGCCAATACAGATGAACTAAGCAGTATGTTAAATTTAGGTCTGGATTCTCTTCTTGTGTGATAATCTCCTGGTACTCACCTTTCTTAAATCTTCAATATTAGACGAATCTGATGCAGGACTAAGAGAATATTTAGGACAATATCCTTTACATTCTGTTCCATGTCTGTAATTATGACTATGACACAACCCCCCTCCAAATAATTTTATCTTTTGCATTCTGTTATTTTCCTTAACTCCTCTCACTTCTCGAATCAGGCGTCAAATATCAGCCATGCTACCAACCCTTACGAATTTCCTTCAGCGCCTCTACGATCTAATGCAACAGGAAGAGCTTTCTGACAGTGTAGTAATAACTGTTAGCTTTATAGCCGTCGGACCGTTTTTCGTAGATTCAGGAAGCAACAATACAAACTCTTTCTTTGGCAACAGTGGATTGGAAGGTGTAAAGCTTGTAGCATTAGGACTATTGAGATCCGTGTTTACTAATCATCACAAGCAGAGGACGTGGATATTAGAAGAAATTTTGACCTCTTTGATCAAGTTGCCTACTGCAAAGAGAAATTTGAGACAGTTTAGGTAAAAAAAGGGGGGGTGATGAGCAAGGGAAACATAAGTGTGTATATATGATTGCACACCGAAGAAATTACTTGTCTATTGGTATTGGTTATGCTACAATGGTTTAAGTGTATCTTTTTTATGTTTAGATTGCCAGATGGTAAATCTATTCAGATGGTATCTGCTCTCATTCTCCAATTGGTTCAGAGCTGCACTGCTGGACTCGGGGAGCATAAACAAAGATCAGTTGGAGAGGATGGTGAAGGAGTGCTACTATCTGAGATTGACAGAACATCAAATGACTTTAAAAAGGTAGAATAATTAGTCCCGTTGTATTGAATTATGCGGATGTGTATTGTGTTTCGTTGACCGTAACCAATCATAATGTTGTGACTACTATTTTGATTCACGCAGATCTCACGTTCCTGGAAGTCTGGAATCGATGCTGCAAGCGCCAATGCAGGATATGTCTTTAAATTTCTCCTATCTAGATGTACTAAATCAATAAAAAACTCCAACGAATCTGAATACAGACTGCTGCTCGATAATTTCATGGAGGATGTAATAACTGTCCTTAATTATCCCGAGTGGCCAGCTGCTGAAATGTTTGTGAGAATATTCAGCAAGATAATGGTTAGCAATAATTAACGCGTCGTGTTTATCAACATTAATAACATTGGACAGTGTGTTAAATTTATGCCTATTATTATTGCTGTAGGTTGGATATATTGACGACAAGAAGGCGGATACATATACAAAATCAATGGCGATAGACCATCTAGGAATGATAGCAGGAAGAATTAAAAAATATGCCAACAACGGGTTGTCTTCTTCTGAAGGAATGCAAGAAGATAATGTGGATGAGAGAGATATTAGTTGGATAGATAGAATAAAAGACATTCCTAAAGGAGAGGTTTGTGTTATTATGAGAGAGTTTATGCTAAACTTAGGGAAGAAAGTTTAACATTCCTGTTGCATATGTCCTATTGTAGATAACTAATGTTACTAGTGTAGCTGCCGTAAAGAATCTATGGAAATGTCAAAAAACTGTACTGACATATTTGGAGATTGGTGCTTTGGAAGATCCTGGGTTACAGGTGAGTTTGTATGACTGACTGGACTGACAGTCTTAACCAAGGCGACATCGTCCCCATTATTAATGAATATAACAGTCTGCTAGACAATTTTACATATCAGAATGGGGGTATTCTTTATTGAGTACGCTCTTGTCAATCGATGATCAATCGTCAGATTTGATGAGTGTCGACCGTGACAATGATGACGATGATGACAATGCAAACGAGAATGAAAACTCGACAACGGCAATGAAATCATTGCTGCATAGGATCGTAAAAGACTTCTGGCACATCTCTGTAAACGAACGAGATAATAAACAGTTAATCGGGCATAGGTAAAAAAAGAAGAGTAATTTGCTTTGCAAAATTTCTACAATTAGAATTATCAGCATTCATATTAACCATATACATTGATACAGATCGCAAGAATTAGATCGATCGGATGTTCTACTAGTCACTGAGCTTCTAGCAACAAGACAATCACTATATCAGAGCTTTGATTCGATACTTTCGCGAATTCTGGTGTCTTTGGATATGGGCGTAGTTGCGTTCAGGACAAAAGCACTACGAGCATTAGGGCAAGTAGTTATCTGTGATCCTAGTATACTAAGTCAGGTAAGTCACAGCTAAGGAATGGAATGCAACATCTTTTGTATGATATTATTGTATCCTAATTGACATTTGTCGTATATGTCAATACAGGTTAATGTTCGTCAAACTATAGCTCAGAGGCTACAAGACAGTTCACCAGCTGTACGAGACGCAGCCATCGATCTTGTTGGTAGATACATTGCACAAAAGCCAGAAATTACCGAACAATATTACAAAGTGATAAGCGACCGGATTTTGGTAAGAGAAGACACTAATGCGTTTAGTAATTAAGCACAGAATGGTATTATTAAAGTGAACACACGCAATTTGCTTCAACACAGGATGTCGGCCTAAGTGTCCGTAAAAGAGTAATAAAACTGCTCCGCGACATTTATCTCAAATGCACCAATCACTCAATGATGGTCGATATAGGATGCAAAATACTTCTCCGAATTAACGATGACGATCACCATGTCAAAGTACGCTCTCGATGCATTTTCCAATTTCCAATTAATTGCAATTCCCTAACTAGTGTCGGTATTATTCGTTTCTATAGGACTTGGCGCTGAAAACCATACAGGAGCTTTGGTTTGCCCCATTTAAACATCAGAGATCAATAAACATTGAAACAGATGACATAGCAGAGGATGACGACGTACCTAATGAATTTGCTAATATGTCTATTGCTGGTAAGAAAGAAGTGCTCAGCAGAAGTCTTTTGATCGTTGGTGTTGCTGGAAAGTTAGGTGAACGCAACGGAGCCATACTTGGGGGACTGTTCAAGAAGGTTAATTTATAATGAGTATATTTTGATTTCGTTTTGTGTGCTATATTGTATTCTAGTATTAATTGCATGACGTTTAATATTGTAGATACTTGACAAAGAAGGAAAGCAGAAACGAGAAATACTAAATATCTGTCAATGCATGGTCGATTGTCTTTTTGAGCATCTTTTGACATTACAAGACGCCAACTCAAAGGTCATATATTGTCCGCTGTCCATTAACGTAATTGCAAAACACTCTATTCTCTATCCAATGCTCACATACCTTGCATGCAGACTGAAGTCGTGGGGTGCATAAGTACAATATGTCTTTTGAGCACTGCTTCTCCGATCCTCGTTCGCCGTCATGTGGTAACTCTCCAACCGTATCTAAAGAGCGCTAGTACGGTATGAATATCGTTTGTTCATATCATACATCGGTATTAAGTTTTATTGTGCTTATTTCTTATTAACGTATGATCAATTTAATAGCCAGAAGATCAATTGATTCTGTACTATGTCCTAATGATATACAGAAGTGTCCTCCCATTGCTAAAGCTAGCCAGCCAAAAGTTTTTGAGCGATGTTGAAGATGCATTGGTCAATTTATTGACTAAAAGTTCGCAAAAGGTTATTATTGGTAACTGCAGGAAATATTTTGAGAAAGCATATCACTTGTGTTTAACCAGAATTATCTTGAACCGTGTAGATTCTACAAGAAGCCGTTCCTTGTCTCTGTCTGATAGTCGACAAGTTGACCTTCAAATATTATTTATTGACAAAACTACTTCGATCATGTGTTGGTAAGCAAATACACTATCAGAAAGCTTCAAGAACGCAATAGTAAACTGATTACATTATACCTTAACAGAAAAGTTGAGACTGGAACGAAAACGATTAGACAGCGCTCAAAATTTATCATCCGTTGCCCACGTTAAATTACTACTCTTAATCATCGGGCTGCTTTGCAGAAACTTTGACTTTGACAAAAAACGACAAGAGAAACCAGGTATGATTGTAGTGAGATTTTCCAGTCAATAATAGTCTTGCTTTTCTTATTCATCATTTAATCTGGTACCATTTTCATCTTATCCTCAGATAAATTAAAGGATCTTCTTTTTATCGATAAGGTATATATTATTACACAACCAACGGACAATTCCTGTCTGCCCAATTTGAACTTGACCAACACTAACCATCCTACCAAACGGGTATTGTTTCATTCATCTCACTTCAGGGCCCCGTAACTCCGATAGTTTTCGAGCTAGTGTTATCCTTTTGCAAGGAAACACTTTCCGAAGCAGTTCAAAAGGTAGCACTTCACAGCCTCGGTTCTATTTACCTGTCTAACCCTATTATTATGCTCCGACCGGAGAGTACTGGCCTGATGGACAGGATATTGCGTGGTGACGTCATGGATATGAAAATTCAGCTGATGAAGGTGTTTCTGGACTTTTTGGTTGGCGAACAGCAAAAGATTAATTCTGACCTTGAAGAGAAAAGTAAGTGTAGTCGAAGAGCGTATATATAGAACGTGTCTGTTTAGTTATTATTAAAGACTTTCTAATGACGTTCTGAAATTGACGGTTACTTACAGAAAAGAAAAAAAATACGCCCGTGGATCTGAAAGTGTTAATAGGAAATGCCGACGAATTTGCTGAGGCTGGGTATGTTGATTTCGGACAGCTGCGTTAGCATTATTACATGACTATCTTTGCAATCCCTGTCATTCTAATTACGCGATCGCATGTACACACACATCTTGTGCATTTTATAAATATTTTTCCTCTGTCTTTACATCAATAGTGTCAGCAGCTCTCTAATGCAACGATACCTCGAGAGCATACTCGAGTGCACGTTTGATCACAATCAAAATTTGAAAATTGTTGCGCTGGATGTACTTGGCAATATTATTCAACAAGGGCTCGCTCATCCCGTTCTTGTAAGTTATATAATAGATCACAAAGTTGTATATGATAAATCGTGTGTAAAGTTAACCTGGCAATTTGTCGATTCCTAATCTAATTACTATCATATGTGCGTGTTTGGTCGAATAGTGTATGCCGACGATAGTCGCCCTGGAGACAAGTCCTGAAAGTGTGTTCCGTGATAAAGCCTTCAAACTACATCAACATCTCAATGAAAAACATGCCTCATTGATACATACACGGAATGTTGATTGTGTTAAGAAAGCGTATGCTTTTCAAAAGCAATTGATAGATGATAAGCCTGTAGTTGGTAAGCGTCGTACGCCATGTTTTGATATTCAGTGCTATATGTTACTAATGATTGTGTTCATGCCAGGTTACGCTACGCGTTCTCAAGAAGGTCAGCCCGAAGCACTGTTGAATCTGATGTACTGTCTACTGCGCGAGAAACGACAACGTCGCAATGATTTTCTTAGCTCGGTCGTCAAAATATTCGACTTTGACTTGAAAAAGTGTGACGAATGCAAGGTAATATTGATGTGATATAGGTATGGCTGTGTGTGATGTGACAACTCAACCCATTGACTATATATTTGGTAAAGGTCGATATTGGTTTTTGCAAGTTTGTGGCAGAGAATCTCGCGACGATCGATTATAAGACGAACGAAGAAGTACTGCACGTGATATACTGGATCAACAGAATACTCTCGGTAGTAGCAATAAGCGTATTGCACTCGATCCAAGCCCATGAAAAGACGCTTATGGTTGCAGACAAAGCTGAAGCTGTTGTTGATACAGAAACAACGAACGTGCCCGGGCCAATTCTAGAAACATTACCACAAAATGGAAATTTTTCAGAAATTGGAAACACTGCTGTCATAACCAACAACATGGATGGGGCAATGAGTAGTAACAACATCGTGAGCATGGACAATCACGTGGACATTAATGCGACGAGCAATAATATGAACAACAGCATACAATTTGTTTTTGATGGCAATATGGGAGGATTGGGCATCAATACTGACAGAGATTTGTTACTTCCACGTGCCACGGTCGAAACAATGCATGTCGGTAATGATCTTAATACAGCGACCAAGAGTTATATCAATGATCACAAGGACTTTCAACCTAATGAGATGAAAGCAGAAGAAATAAAGCGCGAAGAGGATGGAGAACAAAAGCATAATGCTGATGTTTCAGTAGCAAAACAAGAAATAGGTTTGTTACAATTGTATCATGTTGACAGTGGGGAGTTGGCTTTCGATAGTATTTAATACGGTTATTTATTGTAAATAGAGGCTATATTACCCTTGCCATTTGCAGCCAGGGTCTCAGTATGCATGGCCATTTTGATGTATCTTAAAGAACATCTGAAGAGGGCGTATTCTCTAAGTGAAATGTAAGTACGATAGAACTAACTCGTTAGTACCTTCACTGTTTCATATATTTGCTTATGCCGTAACATTCACCATGTTATCCCGTTCTACTTTCGAAATGCTTCGCTTACCTCCCTCAGTAAATGCCAAAACTTTAATCCGGCAACTAGTAGTAATCACAAGGACAAGCCAGCTATTCGTCATCAGAATGCGGCGTCAATGTTATCATGGAAACAGCTGCCATTTGTTGATAAGCCCATGGACACCAAAGAGGCTATACAGCAACAATGTGAATCTGTAAGTAGAATTGGTTGGGATGATATGTGAGACATATGTGAGTGTCACATATATTCGCTTTCTATTTCTAAATTCTCCATTCAATTTTAAGTTCCAAAAACTCATGTCCGAAGACGGAACGCAATCCGAACCATTCGCCGATGCTGAATATCTCGATCTCGACTTTGATGCTCGTCATACTTCATATCATCATATCAATGCTGAATTTGATATCATGATGTCATCTAACTTCCATTCTGCAAAGAAGCCGGTAAAGCGAGTTAGTTCTGGACATAGAGGGCGGCCGAGAGGGGGCAAGAAACGTTTTATTGCAGAACAAGGTGGAAAGAGAGGAGGAGCAAGGAAGAAGAAGAGAATAATTGAAGATGGAAGTGGAGAAGATGAGGACGATGGTATGGGAGAGTGAAGAGTGAAGAGAAATTCAGGGAGAAGGGATATGATTATATACGATGGACTTGAAATATATGATAAAAAAAAGGTTATTTAGGCAAAAGTATTAATGATTTCGAAGAGCAAATCCTCAAAACGATATTTTAACCTTGGTTATTCTATTCAATGGCAAACTATGCTTTCCTACTTTCTTTATCTTTCTGTAATATAATAGCATTAGAACTACAGCGCATAATGCGTGTATTGATTATAGTTTGTGACCATTTTAAAGAATTAAAGTGGGATTTACAGAGTTTTTTCCTCTTGCACAAATATTGAGGCTTTTTAGTATATATTTTAAAAAGAGAATGTAGTAAATAATAAATGAATAAGGAATTTATCCTGGTTATTTAAGCAAGCAAATATTAGTACGCGTTTCTTTTTTTGGCGTCGGCTAGTACTTGTTACTCCTCCATCATTGCTTCAGCCAGGCCATTAAAAATATATCTTGTTCATGTCTAAAAGAGCTTGCGACGTCTCACGTAATATAAATACGGGAAACTTTTCTCTCGGAATCTTTTTGAACAATTACAATTGCAACCTATCTCATGGTTTTTTCACACGTGGTTGTAACAGCATTGCACTTCTGCCAACTTTGTTAATATTGTTATCTCATTCTTTCATTTTAATACAACAACTCCAAAGACAGCAGTTGGGTGTGTATTGAAAGTTGCAGAATTAAAAGTGAGATGATACAAGAGCCTATTGTAAATACCTGTTATCAAATGACAGAAGTGTGAGTGAATTTTTGATTTTGTTACGGGCGGGGTAGATGCCCTCATATAAACGTAATTTGATGACAATCTGTCGGTTCTTCTGACTGCCCTTGATAACTCAGTATAAAGAGGCTTATCTCACCTAACACTTCTACAGTATGTAAAGTTAGAGAGTCTTTTTTTAACAATCTGATCCTCACATTGTCCAATAATAATAACTTTAATGTAAGAATCAAAAGCTGAGCTTCTCCTGTCTTTCTAGAACTCTGTGTATACTTCTTAGACCCCTCTCTCTAATCTTCCAGCCTCTCTAGCTTCGGCTTCATCAGCTGTGCCTTCACAATGTTTAGCATTAGCTCTTGTTCGTCGCGTAGGAATGTTTATACTCATGTCACGTGACTTACTTTTGTCCGTGTAACTTCTATTGATGGAGTTGCCAATTCGTTGTTTCCATTTGTAGAACAATTCACAATTGAAGACTCGCGCTAACACTAAAAAAAATCAAATTATGATACATCTGGTAATTTGCGCAGTTCATTATGACCTTTGATACATTTATGCACCCGTCTGTTTAAATTAAGTAATAACATAAAATTGACGACGATATAAACACGGAAATAAAGACTGCGAAGGAAGCATGTACAATAATAACAATTTACAACTAGGGGGAGTCGGGGGTTATGGACAATCACCTTCTCTACAACCACAATTGGCAGGCGTTCCTGTCAATACCAACTTGCAGCTAGGGGGAGTTGGGGGTTATGGACAGTCAAGTTCTCTACAACCAGGCGTTCCTGTCAACACCAACATACAACTGGGAGGAATCAGTGGTTATGGACAACCTCCCTTGTCGGGTAATCCACCTGCCAGTACGGGTGGTGGACCACACATACCAAACGGTATGCGTACAAATGTGAATTTCAGCAATACACACGATGATAATATACTCTAACATACTTTTAATCTATAGTAAGACTATCGTTTATCTCTGCTAAAGATCAGACAAAGTTCGAGGAGTTATATCGTTCAACCGTTGCTGGAGGAAAACATATGACAGGTAATGTTAGCAGTATGGTAATTGGTAATGCATCTATGATCGTATCGATATTAATAGAGGAATATATAATCACAGCCGAACAGGCTAAGGCCATCCTCATCAAGTCAAAACTATCACCAGAAGTCTTGGCTAAGATATGGTAAGACAGCGCAATTATCAATTCGAACGATCGATCTCGTTTTTCACCAAACAATTTACTGACGGCTCGTCTGTCGTTCACAGGAGTCTATCTGACATAACCCAAACCGGCTACTTAACATTTCCGGAATTTGCTCTGGCAATGTACTTGACAAACTATAAACTTAACGGGCGTGAAATTCCATCCACAACACCCGACAACATTCTGTCCGAAGTGAAAGGAGTAATCGAGCAAATTCAAGCGATCAAGCAAAAACAAGTAGCCGAACAACCACTCATTCAAATGAACGCTACTCCTCAGATGAGTTCCGTACAACCTCAGATGATCCAACAACAATACACCGGAATGTCTACAATATCCTCTATACCTACACTAGCTTCTATTTCACCAGTACCCACTGGAGTCTCCTCAGCGGGCGGATTACTAGGACAGAATTTCATGGTGTTTGCTCAGAGAGTTATGCCTCAACAAAATCCACCACTCCAGTACAATGTTCAGGGATTACAAGGAAATGCAAAAATCCCTTGGGCAGTAACAAATGAAGAGAAGATGCAATACAGAGAAATTTTCAAGGCTTGGGACGTGAATGGAAGTGGATATCTTAGCGGTGAGTGTACCAACAGGCATGGCAGATAAGGATTGTAGTTTGAAACAGGTGAAAAAAAGTCAAATAATAACAGGAAGATAATTAAATAGTAGTAGTAGCAATCGCGTGGATTGTTATTTGTTTCTTGTACCATTGATCATATTTGCTTATTATTAACAGGCGAAAAGGCAAGAGAAATATTTTCACAAACTGGGCTTCCTCGAGATGACTTAATACAAATATGGTAAATTCTTCGCAAACGCCATGTCGCTAAGTTATTAGAAACAACGATTAGTTAATTATTAAACCCAGTTTTTACATTTGAACTTCGCTTTCTTGTCTTAATATTCTCTAGGGGCTTGGCAGATCCTTATAATCATGGAAAATTAAACATAGATGAATTTGCAGTGGCAATGCATCTAATCTATCGCAAACTCAATGGCTACGATGTTCCGGCCACTCTACCACCTGAATTAATGCCTCCATCTTCTAGAGATCTCGCAGAGAGTGTGGATAAGCTCACAAACATTATTGTAAGAGAAAGTCAAGCACAACGTCTGTCTCCACAACCAGCAAGTAACCAATACGCTAAATCGAGAAGTTTTAACGGTGCAAGCACAAACCCACTTGATATCAAACAAGATGCTGTTGCGTACAAGCACGATGATGATGACGTTGGGTATGTTAGCTCTGCCAGGAGAAGAGCACCCTTGACAGCTCCTAAACAAGAAACAAAGAAGAAACTTAATCTAGAGGAATTAAGGAATCAAGTACAGGAGAAGGAAATTACGTTGGACGCATTATTATGTAGCGCTGAAAGTATTCCTACTCAAGCATATTCAGAACATGGTGGTGATGAGATAGAGACCCTGAAGAGGGATACACGTGATTTACATTCACAGATAATCCGATTATCACCCGGTGATTCTGTATCAAGAGAACAAGATCGCAACTTTACTGAATTAAGGACATTATTGGACGATCACCGTAGATTAGAGTCAGAGATTAACGATTCGCTCTCATCAACTATCCCAGACTTGATCAAGACAATACGTAAAACCGATGATCAAGTAGCTGAAGCAAAACTGGCGCTCTTCAAATTACGAGACACTAAGAATTCAGGTCCAACACTCGAAATCATTGGCACGGGCCCTGGCGGAACCATCACTGAGGCGGACAGGATTAAAGCAAAAGCTCAAGCTATGGTACAAGCGAAATTGGCCGCTCTCACTGGTAAACCGGTATCCACCGGTGGTGGAACAGACGCGGATGCGTCAAAGCGATTTGAAGAGAAAGCCGTGGCAGTTAACGCAGAAAGAGCAACTCGTGAAGAACGTGTAACTGAAATTGAAAGAACAGTGGGGCGTGTACAAGATATGCTGATTAGATTCGCAAGAGAGAAAGAAGAAATTTCTGACGCGTTGCGGCATTATGAGACGGACGGGCAGATATCGTATGAAGAGCGCCGAAAATGGGAAGATGGCATTGATGTTGGAGACGAAGTGAGACGATTCATCGACGAATTGAGGAGGGAAGGCGAATCAAGCACAAACAGATATTTGAGAAAAGAAAGCGACTTAAGCACACCAAGCTACTTAAGGAAGGAGAGTGAATCAAGCACAAGCAGTTATTTAAGAAAAGAGAGCGAATCAAGCACAAGCAGTTATTCAAGAAGAGAGGGCGAATCGAGCACAAATAGTTATTTAAGAAAGGAAGGCGAATCAAGCGTAAATAGTTCGTCTACTCCTTCGTCTTCAGGAAGTTCTTTTTCATTAAAACCCAAGACACCGGAAGAGCGCGCAGCATTCATAAAGGCCGAAGCAGAACGTCGAATGCAAGAAAGCTTAAGACGCCTCGGGTTAGATCCCTCATTGAACGCTTCAAAACCGGCAGCGCCCTCTGCTTCTGAACGCCTAGCACGAGAACGAGCCGAAGCCGAAGAGAGAGAACGTGCTCGTACCGAGAAGTTGTTGGCAGATAAACAGAGAAAAGCTGAAGAGAGTGCCGAAAGAGAGCGTCGACTTGAAGAGTATAAAAGACAAGAAGAAGCCCGTAAGGCCCAATGGCTTGCGGAAGCAGAAGATTTGGAAAAGGCGAAATTGAGGGATCGAGAAAAAGAAAAAGAAAAGGAACGGGAAAAGGAAAGAGAATTGGAGCGAGAAAAAGAGCGGGAAAGAGAACGGGAGAGGGCAAGAGAAAGGGAGAGAGAAAGAGAGCGAGAAATAGAACGAGAAATGGAAAGGGAGAGAGAACGAGGGCGAGAGCGAGAAAGAGAGAAAGAAAAAGCACGAGAGAGGGAGATGGAACTGGAGAGAAAAAGAGAACTGGACAGAAGAGCACGAGAAAGAGAGATGGAACTAGAAAGGGAAAGGGAAAGAGAAAAAGAGAGAGAGAGAGAACTAGCTGAAATGGAAGCAGCGCGACAGAGAGACTTTGGAGACATACCGAAGGTTAGTAGCGTTCCGCCACCCGCACCATCGCCACCAATGGCGAACGTCATTCCGACTGCCCCTCCTCCCCCACCAGTTGTTTCTACACCACCAGTCGCTCCTCCTCCACCGCCAGTCGCTCCCCTTGCTCCACCAGTTGCTCCTCCTCCTCCAGCTCAAAGCTCTAGCTTGCCTTCATCATCTGGTTCACGGAATGCGCTTTTGAGCCAGATTCGACAAGGCACACGGTTGAAGGCGGCAGTAACTAATGACCGGTCTGCTCCTTCTGTTGGAGGTAACAATTTATTTCACAAGCAATCTTTATTCTTAATTTCCCATGGAATGAATAAGAACCCTTCTATTTTAACTTTATATAGACCAATCACGCGGGGCCGGTACATCCGCATCCGCATCTACTTCGTCGTCTTCGGCTGCAGGCGCTGCCTCTTCTTCTCTCTTGGCAGGTTTAGGTGGTCTTTTTGCTGGAGGATTCCCCAAACTCGCTAGTCGTGGTGGCACAATCGATACAGGCCGAGCACCTTCCACAGCCGAAATGAACTCGTCTAACAATTTGGAAGTTAATCGCAGAGATACGGAATGGTATGATAGTCTTGCGTCAGACACTTTTGCCTCTGATGATACATTTGCGACAAAGTCGGTTGCAGTCGACGAGAAAGAGGAGAAAGAGAAAGAGAAAGAAACTGATATATTTGGTGATCCTGCTTCTGAACGAGTTGCGTCGTCGCCAACGCCAATGAATGCTAATTCAGAGGAAAACGTTGACTTTGAAAAAATGCACAGAGTGAAAAGTTTATATGCCTTTGCAGGAACTGGGCCTGATGATTTACCATTTGAAGCTGGAATCGTGTTTAAGGCTTATCCGAGTAAAGAGGATAAACATCTTGATTGGTGGTTTGGCATTATTGAAGAGACAGGCGCGAAGGGTTGGCTTCCTAAGAACTATGTTGAGGACGTAACTGAAGGTATGATGAGCTATAATTATGTAGCTCATAGCTACTATATATCTCGGTTAACTGTACGAATTAACTTACTACTCAGAATCTTTTTTTATATGTTCCATTACTAATTGTTCCCATTATTCTGATACTCAACAGCCCGCGTGCTTTACGATTATGCTGCTCAGACGGCTGAAGAGATTACCATAAAAAAGGATTCCGTGGTCTTAATCCTTGACAAATCCTTGGGCCATTGGTGGAAAGTTGAACATGAAGGAGCAAAGGGATTTGTTCCAGCAAATTATGTCGAAGAGATTTCTAGTAGTAGCGGTTAGTGATGCCAATTCTCTTTTAATATAAAGTCTTCTTTTTATGATCTCTTTTTTTTTTTACTTGGCACTTGATTCAATAGAATTTATTGCTATATCTATATTTGTTAATCTATTATTTGGAGTTTTTATTCTTGTAAATCAGCTATAATAACATTTGTTTGTATCATTGAAGATGCTAGGGATTACAAATTCTGAGAGGGGATGGGGAAGAGGGTGAGGGTGAGGTGAGGGTGGGGGTGGGGGTGGGGGTTTCTAACGAACAATGTAAACATTTTATTGAATGAATTTACTAAGAAAAAAAATTTGCTTATGAGAATTGAAAAAGTAATGATCTCTTTCTCTTTTTTATATTTTTATGGCCTGTACCCAACGTGACCAACTTTACGCATCCAACGGTTGTTTCAAATAATTGACTGTTCACAACCTAACAAAAAAATTTTACTGAATTACTTCACCATCCAAACTAATATGAAATATCTGAACGTTGTATGCGAATGCACCCATGTATTTGTATAATGTTTTACCGATTGTCCATATTAACCAAATTTGCATAAAAACATCAACTTTCTGTTTTTCCTTTCCATTGTCTTTCACAAAATTCTCTGTCCCTTAGATTCGTCACTAAATCTTCAAGATTCATCTGTACCCGACGACAACCAAGAGATAGTATCCGATCCCGAAGATCCATTCAACTTGGAATATACAGATGATGATGACGACGATTCGGTAGATGAAGAAATACAAAGGAGAATAACGAGAGTCCCTTCTTTCGTAATAAGATCAGCATCGCCCGACAGAATGGATAGATCACGTACACCTAGTCCAACTCGGTTATTTGGATCTAGTCCTATTAGCAGTGTGTCGTGGATACCTTCGAGACATAGGAAGCAATCGTTTGGTGTACCGTCCGAGTCTGGTGGTGGAGTTAGACCAAAAAGCCCAGTGGTATGTGTTGATTACAACGAAAAGTTTGTTCCCATGTTTTATATATCTAACTCTATTCATTACGTTTCGAATATTCTAAACAAGGGTCCATCGAGTCAATCCTGGGCATCATTAACCCCACCTTCCACTCTAGCCAATCTTTCCAAACAGACCATCAAACGACAAGAAGCGATTCATGAACTCGTCCTTACAGAGCAATCATACCTTTGCGATCTTCAAATGATAATCCAAACGTTCTACTCTCCTCTTCAATCACGTCTTTCTTCATCCGAGCTGACTACCCTTTTTTCAAACATCGACGATATCCTACTTGTGAACACGGCTTTACTAAGCGATCTTGAACAAAGACAAGAAGAAGGAACCGTAGTGGAATGTATAGGCGACGTGTTTTTGAAACATGCAGACAATATGACATGTTATATTGAATACTGCGGTAATCAGATGAATGCAAGCAAGTTCTTGATCATGAGGAGAAGTGCAGATCGCGAACTTGATCAGTTTTTGAAGGTGAGCTTTTTTCGTATGCTGGAGAGAGTTTTCAATTATTTGACTAACGAAACTTGCGCTTTCGGGTTTCATCTTTCAGAGACAGCAACAGGAGCCGCAGTGCAGAAACCTTGACCTTTCAAGCTTTTTATTACAACCAATGCAAAGGATAACTCGATATCCGTTACTCTTACGCCAGGTAATCTTTATTTCGCGGTGATATTATACTAGTGCTCATCTTGTTTGACCAAATTTTTGCGTCTATAGATACTTCATTATACAGAGAAAGACCACACAGATCATGAGAATACGATGCAAGCTTTAAAAAAGGCTGAAAGTGTACTCGAAAAGACGGATGAAGCAATTAGAGATCAAGAGAACAAGTTGAAAATTGCCGAGATAACCAAGATAGTTGATTTTGAGACACTTGGCGAGGTAAGAAATAGTAGATAGGAATTGAAAATTTGGGTATTTGACTGATGTTTTTGTTTTTTTTTGATGCCGTGTCTAATGATTATAGAAATTGGAGCTTACGAGCATGACAAAGTTTGTTGGGAAAAGGCAATACATCATGGAAGGACCATTACAGAAGGCGAGGGGCAACAGAAAATTGTATGGATATTTGTTCAATGATATGTTAATACTATGTGAACAACTCAGAAACACCAGTAAAGGATACAAGTATACCCTATATCGACCGGTACGTCATTTTATATTAATACTATCGAATGAGTGTGGAACAACGAATATTAATTACCAATATTACGATAACTAGCCAATTCCGCTGAATGAAATAGTAGTAAAAGATGGTGGATCAGGTAAATATATCATTATCGTTGTCGGACATGTCATGTGAAATAATAAGGAACGCTCAAGCAACATATCCTCTATTATTACGTAAAACCAGACAAGATGTCGTTCCAATTAACCCATAATACATCTAAAATTAATCTGAGAACGAACAATGTATCTGTAAAAAGACAATGGGTAAACAATCTTGAAACTGCGAGTGGATACTGTCAACGTAAGGCCGGTAGGTTGCATTTCTTCTGTATCTCAACCGTATTCAATATTATAGTGACAATTCCTTTGTACTAATTCTCATACCGTATTTAGAAGGAAATCCGATAGTATCCGATTATATTGGAACGTTGAAGGCGCTAGTATATGAGGCTTATATTCCTAATAATGGACTATGTAAGTTTCGTTTATGTCGTTTGGGAAATATATTTGTTTATTGTCTATTTGTTTGTTGTTTGTTTGTTTGTTTATTTGTTTTGTTTGGATTTGCGTGTTTGTTTGTTTGTTTGTGTTGTTTGTTTGTTTGGTTTGTTTCGTTTGCTAATACAATATTTAAATTTCTGAAGACGTAAACAAGCCATTAAATCTTCATTGTCGAGCTCAGTTAAGTAGACAAATATTCAAGACCAAATCTGTAAGGGATACTTTATCGCCGAAATGGAATCAGGTAAGGCAATCGTAATATACTTTTTGCGGGTGCTTATATCATTTACTGATATCTTCGTGATTGTGTAGGCATTAATATTCTCAGTTACAACACTTGAGGATACGTTGAGACTGTCGGTATACAATAGTGATGGCAAAAGTAACCAGGATGGTAAGCATGTCTATACATATCGTACTATGCTTGTGGTCGTGAATTAACCTGCTTTTTAATACTTTATATAGAATACATAGGACAAGCATCAATAAGATTAAATTACTTTTTTAAAGAAAACAGAGAAAAGCAAACGGACGCAATTAAACTTTCTCTCAAAGATGGAGCGACAGATGCACATATTTCGGTATCTCTAACATATAAACCCACTTAATACTGTTGAATAATATAATTATAATAGAGATTTATTCATTTAATGGAACTGCAATGTACTATTAAAAACGCTAGAATGCATTGATTGTTATTATTCTGTAGCCTGTCATATTAAAATAATTAATACTACATCGTGCCCGTGCCTGTTAGGACGTCTGGGAAACGCATATTCAATGGACGAGGCGTTACAAAACGCTGAAAGTAAATAAAGAAAAAGAGTCAACAACTGTGCCTGGTACTATCAGTAATATTCCACACGCGCACCAGATAATATCTAAATTAGTGAAACATGAAAAACCGTTCTTGTTCTCTTGCCCATAAATTTTAACGTTTCGTTCCGCTGATTATCTTTGTTAAGCAATTCCGTCGTGTATTTAAGATATGTTCAAAATAGAAAAGAACAGCTATACAAGAAGTGTTTTTATCGTAATGTAATTAAATATATGTGACTGAATTGCAGTTGACTCTTTAGATTGCTCGCTCATTGGCAGATAATAATAATAATAATAATAATAATAATAATAAAATTCTTTTATTCACAACTGTTGTATTATAATAGCAATAAGAAACATATTAATAGTCACACATATTTTAACATGTAAAGATTGAACCCTGCTTCAACTCAGCCTATAACATCTATTTGCGCAATGTAAACTTTCCTTTTTCTAATGTAGACCTTCCTTTTTATTATCTTTTGGCAATGATCAACACCAAAACGCCTTTCGATTTTAAAGTTACTAGATACTAGTGGCTAGTAGCTACACGTAGTAGCTATTGCTGTGGTGGGCCGCAAAAAATGCTTGTCGGAAAGCCACTGTTTATATATATATATATATATATTTGGTAAACAAAAAAATATATATTATAATAAAAATATATCGCCTTACAACATATAATAAAATAATTAGATCGTTTTGTTCATATGAAAATTCCAATCTAAGGTGTTGATCCGCTCAAAGCTATATGATAAACCAAGTGATCAGTCATTGCGGAAAATTGGTTGTAATTTTTTTTTTCTATGAATGTCATACCAGTTTCAATCTCTAGCGTTGTCGCTTACCTTCATGCCACTCTAAAGCAACTAACGACTAATTTTCTCATTTCCATGTGTTTGTCCTAAAAATAAACGTGAGAACATTTTATTAATGTAAAAAAATTTTCGCATACACAACCAATAAATAGATTGGGATTGTTCTGTGACGTTTAAAATTAAATTCCCTGTCTAGCTCTAAAAACTTAAAATTAAGTTATATATTATCAAACACGTTCTATTCTATTTGTCAACCCATGTGCTTAGCTATTGCGGATTTTGCTCAAAACCAAATAATCTTAAAAATCAATATTGCCAAGTTATTGTACTTGTACCTTTTGTAGTCCCAGCAATATGCACAGTGTACAATAAATAGTTCGAGTAAAAATGTTAGTGTGAGTATTGTGAACGTTATATCAGTTTCGGTTATTTTCCTGCATAAATAGAATGTAACAAATAGAGTTGTACAATACTTTGTGTAAAATTTAACACAATGACATACATATGTACATCATATTGCAGTAATTAATTCATCATACTTAAGAGGAAAAGGACAAAAGAACTAAGCAAAGAAAGTCGAGATGCTCAGGAATATTTAGATAATAAATTGACTGGACATTAGTAAAACGACCTAGGAGAGGAAACTTGGTTATTGCCGACTTTCCTAATTTAGAAAGGATTGATCGTTGAAAAAATCAACTTACTAGTATAACGCTTAAGAATTGCCCATACTTTTACTTTCTTTTTGTGCCTCATTCTTTATTATTACCGCGACCAATTAAGTAAAAATAATCTGTCAAAGAAATGTTAGGTTTATTGCTGGCGGAATTCATGCTCTGAATTTTGTTACTAATTTAGCCAAATAATAATCCAACAAATTTAATCCGCACTGAAATAAGAATAATAATCAGCACAATAGTCAGGCTCAAAATCAAGCCAATAATTTACA